AAAAGTTCAAGAACATACACCGCAATAGAATGAAAATAGACTTAAAAGAGGTAAAGAGTTGCTTCGCTTGGCCGAAAGCGGTGAACTGGCGAATTTGACTTTCTCCGATGAGAAAACATTCGTTGTCCAGCAGTTTGTAAATGGACGAAATAATCGTGTTTACATGCCAAAGAGGTCAGCTGAAAATGTGTACCTTAGTTTGGTCACCAGAACTCAAGCGACGGCCATGGTCATGGCGGCCCTTAACAGCCGATGGTCGCTCTCCGCTCGTATTAATCGACCATGGCATCAGAATAAATGACGAAGATAATAGCGAAAATATTTTGGAGGGTGTATTATATTTTGGCCGCAGACCTTGGACATCCCAACAGGACTCAGCACCATCGCACTCAGCACGTGCCACCTAAGAATGACTACAAAGTGAGATTCCTCGCTTCATTTCCAGCGCACAATGGCTACCAAAATCTCCGGATACCAATGCGTTGGACTGTTGTGTCTGGAGTATTTTGGAAAGCAAGGTTGACACTAAAAAATACCAAAGTGTCGATCACCTCAAGCAAGCGCTTCGCCGGGAATGGGCCAGAATACCGCAGAGCAACATTTGGGCAGCGCGTGACGGTTTCATTGATCGTTTGAAGACCATAATTTGTGTCAAAGGTGACCAATTCGAACAAATCTAAACTTGTTCTAAAATTTGATGCTATTTTCGGCAGTTTTTGCTTTCATTCAAAAAAATTAAAAAATGCAAAAATGATGGCGTTTGACTTTGTTTTCTTATCTCGCCCTGTATATGGAAGCTATAGCTATATCTGAAGCGATTTACACCAAATTTAAAATACTTGTTTCCAGGATAAATTCGGTCAGAATTGCCAAAATTCCGTTCATTTTGGCTGTTATTTTCCATTATTTACACAATAAACCTGATATCGGATAAAGATATGTATGAGAGCTATATCCTAATTTGAACCGATATCGATAAAATTTGACATGCGTATTTTAGAGCGGTATCTGATGTCCGGTACCAAATATCATTCCTTTGAGGGACTTAAAACTACAAATCGGATAAAACATATGTATGGTTGAAGATGTACATGAGAGCTATATCTAAATTTGAACCGATTCCCAACAAAATTCAATAGAGTTTGTCCGTGGACCAAACAAATGTTGTTTGGAAAATTTCATCTCAATCGGATAATGAATATCCTCTACATTTTGTTCACTAAAATACAAGCTCTCACTCACATACATAGACTCACTGACATACATAAATCGACTCAAAAAGTGATTCTATGAAGATCCTCGAATGTAACTATGGGTCTATCGCGCTTCCTTCTCCATGTTACAAAAAAATGCACAAATACAGAATACCCTTACCTAGGGTATAAACACTAAAAAAATATAAGACGACAGACTGTAGCCACAAAATCAGAGCCTGACATTTTCTTGGAAAAAAAAATTAAAAAACCTCACAAATATAATATAAATGGTAATATTGAATACTACAATACCGATTCCCAACAAACGCCGTCGAATTGTGTCGGTGTCGACAAATAGAATAAGAGAAAATAGAGGTGTACCACGTTTTGGTACATCCCCCATATAATGGTACCTCCCTTTTTCGGTTTTTTTGATGATTTTAGCGACATTATTCACCGGAATTGTTTCAAATTTGGTATTTGAAGTTCGTAATGCATACTACAGCCTAAGACAGAAAATTGTTTGTGCAGGTCCACGCGTTCTTATATCCCCCATATAACGGTACCACCCGATATTTGGTATTTTGATGATTTTACCGACATTAATTATCGGAATTGTTTCAAATTTGGTGTTTGAAGTTCGTAATACTACAGCCTATGACAGAAAATTGTCTTTGTAGGTCCACGTCTTCATATATCCCTCATATCTATCTTTCCAATTAAGAAGATGGGCTATGTAGGACTATGATTTGTTTAGCCTACATATAAGGACACTTTACGATGTTCGGTATTTTAATGGTTTACTCACATTTTTTAATTGATTTGTCTAACATTTGTTATTGGAACTCCGTAATAGATCGACGGAATTACATAAAACTTGATATTTGTATCTACCCCTATCACAAAAATTACTGGTATGTTTCCGCATAGCCTTAAATAAAGTTTCCTCGTTAGACTCCATATTTTTTCAAGGGATATTTCCATATTTTGCCTTATAGGCTTGGTAATTTAGTTATGAATGGATCTAATTGGAAACATTTTTACCCTAATTTGCGATTTCGTCTACAGTCATGCGAGCCGACCATTTGATGCCCTACACCTCTACAATTTGCGGTAAAGTTTCTGCAGATATCAGAGTTTCATATCTGCAGAAACTTTTAACTGAATAGAATGATGATTTCCCCAAGAAACATCCGCATATCTACTACACAATAAACATGTTGAACCTAATTGCTCCTCTTTTCGATTAATCATCATAGATTTGAAACCAATATTATGCGAAAACATACGATCTTTAACAAAAAAAATCGTTATTTTATAAAGCACGCGTTCTTCCCACGTCAGATACCTATTTCGTTCTTTCGGAAAGAACAGAAATTTAGTATCCATATATTTTTGATTTCCGTAATTTTGAAATTTTTGCACACAACGTTTTAGTTCCTTCATTTCACCAGCTAAATATTCTCCTTAATATCTAACTCCATAAAAAGTTCCATGTATAATGGTACTTTGTTGAAAACTTTCGCGAACATCTTCCGAAACAATACCCCCGAAACAATAACCCCACCGCAATGCAAAATTTCGAATTTGAAGATCGGACCATAATTGCCCCTGAATATAATACCCCGAGCACAGAGTGTTGTAAGATAATAATAAAAATAAAAATTGTACAATCCAATATTTGCTCTGTTCCAGAACCTGCAAGCATCTACTAGTTTTGCAATTTCGGTTATCGTAGTAAAACTTTTTACATTCTTGCGGTTCTGGAACAAACGAATTGTAAGCCAAATTAAAAAATGCGGTAAAAAATGCTGTAAAAAATATAACCATGGTAAAATTTAGAAGATAGAGTCATTTCAAAAGTATCATCCATTCCTGCATTTTCTGCAATTTACCTTTTCAAATATCACTAAAAACACAGGTTCCCATCTCTGATTTCTGTGTATATAATAGACTAGCTGGCCCGGTCCGCGTTGCCGGCCCGTAGTTTTAGTTTTTAGTGCATATTTTTAAAGCAGAAAAAAGGACAGATGTGACTTATGTACGCGGCACAATTTCTATAATAAGTAATGACTGCATAGTAATTTCTAAATAGAAATAAATATTCATGGCAAAGATTATAATATACGTTCACCTACCTCTGTTTTAGATATTTTGAATGAAAATATGTCTTATTTTTAATCCATAGCCTTTAACTTGAGTGTTAAAAACCTGTGAAAACTCAGATCAATTTTTATTAGAATACAGTGCTGCGTAGTATTTAGTATTGTCCACCTCATAATTGAAGGCAGAATGATTTCAGAATATTCAAAGATAATTACTCTTTTACACCCATTACCGTAAGATGGGGATTCATTTTTATGCCCTCCATCATAGTATGGAGGATATATTAAGTTTGTCATTCGTTTTTAACTCCTCGAAATATACATTTTAGACACAACAAATTATATATATTCATGATCAGCATAAAAGTCTATGTATATAAAATACTATGTCTGTGGAAATCACTCTAGCTTCCGAACGAAATGAAGTAAGTTGAAAAAATCTTACTCTCTTGATATTGAAACTGGGCCATGTAGATCGACGTTTGTTATATCCTCCATATAATGGTACCTCCCTATTTTCAGTATTTTGATGATTTTAGCGACACTACTCACCGGAATTGAATCAAACTTGGTACTTGAAGTTCAAAATGGATACTACAGCCTATGACAGAAAACTGTCTGTGCAGGTCCACGTCGTCGTATAGCCCCATATAACGGTACCTCCTGATATCCGGTATTTTGATGATTTTAGCTACATTATTCTTGAATATTTTTCAAGTTTCAAATTTGAATATTGTAATGGCTTATGACAAAAGTTGCGTATGCAATTCCACGTCGTCGTATACATACGGCTACATTCGTTATTTTAAAGATTTTTTAACGAATTTAATATATGCGAAATCTTGGATATCAGCATCTATGTTACAGTCAAAAATGACATTTTCATGTATATTTAATTTCGCTGGAATTAAAAATATTGGCGGTTTAATGGAATCCATCCAAATGTGTAGGCTTTGGTCCAGCCCTAAACTCTAGTCCCATTCTAAATTCTGAGTCGAATTGTCTATAATTCTAACCTCCAGACTAATTTAAAAAAAATCTGTTTTAGGTCCATTTTAAACCCTAAATATTTTGCGATTATCTCCCCCAACAAAAGGCTTCTAGTGCGACCTTGACCCTACCTCCATGCTAAATTTCTGTAGCAGACATAGCTAGATCACTACAGCTCGGATATATAGTTTCCTATGTCATAGACCAATATTTTTGGCCCAATTAAACTTATAGTATCCCAATACATATTGCTGTAGGATATAAAAACGAATTTAAATGTCTTTCTTAGAGTGTTTTTATGGGACGAAATATTGACTTATTTTATTAAGGCATTTTCCCATACCATTCGGCACTAGTTCGTAATATATTTATCTTGAATTCCAATACCCTAATTTTGAGTATGATTTATAATATTTTACATAAATACTAGTCTGAATCTATCGTGACGGTTCTAACCTTTACCAACTTATTTTAAATTGTTCTCGTGAGTGACAATTACTCTCTTATCTTTTCAATATTTATTCCGTGCTAAAAATTAAGATTCTAGTTCCATATTTATATAGGCGATTATATATGTGATGCTCTCGTGCACCATCACCTTTACGGTGACAATTGATTTGAAAATCTATTTTTCGTTAAGAAGACTGATAACGACTGCATGAGGTATAAATACCGGCTCAAAATGTGCAATGCCAAATAGTCTCTTGGTTCTGGATATAGCGGACATATCTTCTAATCATGAAATTGCCCATTGTGCTATTGGCCTTTATGGGCATTGCAACACTGGTTTCTACAAAAAATGCCACGGTAGCCGACAAATCCTACCTGGAGAAACAGAAATTTCTTTACGAAATTGTCTATCGCATTGAGGATCCGTTGATGTTTGAAGAGTGGATAAAGCTAGGAAAACATTTAATTGTTGAGAAATCTTTTTACGACGTGAGTAGATGTTCGATGTAGAATTCCATGTATTCACAATCCTTTTTTTCCAGCACTATGACATCCACATGGAAAAGTTTTGGGAATCCTACAAGGAGAAGGCTCTCTTGCCCAAGGGCGAATTTTTTGGCAATCTTGTCAAGTCTCATTATATGCAAACATGGGGACTTTTTAATTTCTTCTACTATGCCAAGAATTGGGAAGTGTTCCAGCGAAATGTTTGCTGGGCCCGTATGCATGTCAACGAAGGCATGTTCGTACATGCTCTTACTTTGGCGATAATACATCGAGATGACTTTGTTGGTCTGATGCTTCCCTATATCTATGAGATATTTCCGCAGCATTTCTTCGACAGCCGATTCATTTACGCTGCCGAGAAATTCGATTTCAATATCTGGAGCAAGTATGCAATGTACGAGAAACAGTACCTTGATGTCTATTACAAGAACAACAACAACAATGACAGCATGGGTAGTTATGTTCACATGAAGGACTGGAAAATGTGGCAATGCACTATGGGTTTTTTTACGTTTATTTTGGCATAAACTCTAATTTCAAAGCTATTGAATTGAAATTTGGTTTGTATGCATTTTTTATGCTTCCAAGATGACCTACCAATTTTCATATGATTTGGGGAACTATTTCATATAGCTGCTATATAGCCGATCTGGCCGATCTGACCCAACTTTTTTGTTTATGAAGCTATTGAAGTGAAATTTGGTTTGTATTAATTTTTTATACCCCAAAGATGACTTACGAATTTTCATATGATTTGGGGAACTATTTCATATAGCTGCTATATAGCCGATTTGACCCAACTTTTTTGTTTATGAAGCTATTGAAGTGAAATTTGGTTTGTATTCATTTTTTAAGCCCCCCCCCCCAAGATGACTTACGAATTTTCATATGATTTGGGGCACTATTTCTTATGTAGCTGCTATATAGCCGGTCTGGCCTATTTGACCCAACTTTTTTATTTATGAAGCTGTTGAAGTGAAATTTGATTTGTATTCATTTTTATGCCCCCAAGATGACCTACGAATTTTCATATGATTTGGGGCACTATTTCATGTAGCTGCTATATAGCCGATCTGGCCGATCGGCTATGATGATTTGGAGAAACATACTGCTCATTCATTACAATAATTATACTTTTGCTAAGCCATTTTGAATGTTTAGTTTTAAATCGCTCTAGTTTACGGATGCACTTTGGCAAATGCTTTTTTATATAATTAACAAAATCTTTCACTTGTTTTGATATCAAACGCATTTGGTCTTCATTTAAACTGATATTATTGATATTCTGTAACACATATTTCACAAGTGCATCTTCTGAGCGATTGTTGCTTCTCCAAATTTCAATATGCGCTGCATGGACAAACACATGTTTATCTGCAAAACACGTGTTGGCACAAAATAGAACAAAAAAGGCTAGTTACTCATTAATTAACACACTTTTGTTAATAACTTGGCATTTATATCTTTTTGCAATGCTTTGCCATTCACAAGTTACACTCCACGGAACACAACTACAATTTATAGATTTTATATAAAGCTATACATAAACGAAACAATTCACAGTATTACAACAACAGACAATTATGACAAAAAGGGCACCTCGTCTTAATTTTACATACCTGCACTAACGTTTTCCATAATTACACATTTTATTTTTTTCAATTTTGTCAAATCAGAAGCACTTGAACTTAGCTGATCTTTACCGCCAGTTGTACCAAAACAAAGTGACTTTCAAACAGCTGACTTTAAAAGCTCGCCAGCAAAAAAGGGTTGCCACCCGTATTGATATTAAACATTTTTTTTTCTAATATGGGTATCTACATTTAGGAAATAAGTTAAATTTCAAAATATGAAACCAAAAAAAAATGACTTTATGCCAAAAAATCATGCTTTTTACCCATAGTGCAATGGTGGAAACTGATGGGTCTGGACAAACAGTGGTACATGGAGGATAACTATATGTTGCGCGAAAATATTTACAAACATAACAAAGATTCGCAGTGGCTGTCAATGATGAGGGATGTTAAAATGATGTGGATGCCCGTCGACTACACCCGTGACATTGACTTTGCCAATGAAGAGTTGAGGCTCTCCTATTTCACTGAAGACGTGGAATGGAATGCCTTCTGGTACTACATTAATATGGACTATCCCTTCAATTTGGATGGTAAAACTTTTCAGTTGCAGAATGATCGTCGTGGAGAATTTTGGATGTATGCTATTCAGAAACTATTGTCCCGTTATTATATGGAACGTTTGTCTAATGGTTTGGGCGACATTCATCGCATTTCACGTTCGCAATCTTTTGAGCACGGTTATAATCCACGACTTGTGGCATATAATGGTCTCGGTTTCAGTTATCGGAAAGACTACTATCACCTTTACGATTCGGGTAACTTTGATATGCTAGAGAGACTACGTGAGTTCTTTGCTCGAGTCGAGCGAGTGGTTGATTTGGGTTACTATACAATGAAAGATGGCACTGTTGTGGATTTGCGTAATCCAGATGCTGCAGACATGATTGGAAGTATTTTACAGGGGAACATTGATGTTATGGACAAATACTTTTTCAATTATTGGTATTTGTATTCTCACATGTATGTGGCAGATGTGGGCTTTAATGATGTGGAAGTAGTTCCTCATGCGTTCCTCAACCTCGAAACTGTTGTCAGAGATCCATTGTTCTATAGCCTCCATAAGCGAATACTTGATGTATTCTACCGCTTTAAAGATTCATTGGGCCCTTACCAGCGCGAAGAACTCTCGTTTCCGGGTGTTTACATTAAGGATGTGAAGGTTAGTGAAATGGTGACATACTTTGATCTGTTTGACTATGATGTGACCAATTTGATAAATGGCAAGATGCGATTTGTTGATGGCGAGTTTAAATGGGAGAAAACATTATTGGCGCGTCAAATGCGTCTAAATCACAAGCCATTCAACTTTGAAATTACCGTTGAATCGGACAAAGCTCAAAAGGTATACGTTCGCGTCTTTCTTGCACCGAAACACAACGAGTTGGGTCAAATTATACCACTAAATGAAAATCGCTTGAACTTCTTCTCGTTCGACAAATTCTCATATGAATTATCGGCTGGCCTGAATACTATAAAACGCAACCCGGCCGACTACAAATTCACTTCGCCAGATTCGCTAACCTACACCGAAATGTATCACTACATTAAATTGGCTTACGAAGGCAAATATGAGTTCCACCTAAATATGAGCTATCCACATTTCTCCTTCCCGAATCGTCTCATGCTGCCACGTGGCTGGGCACAAGGCATGCCAATGCAACTATTCTTTATGGTCACTCTGGACGACGATGACCACGAACAGTTCGACTATACTTTCTCATGTGGTTTAGGATCTGGTCGCCGGTGGTTCGACAAGAAATCCTTAGCTTATCCATTTGACAGGGAAATTGATGAGCACGATTTCTATGTGCCCAACATGTACTTTAAGGACGTTATGATCTATCATCAGGATAATTTAAAGTTCTACCGCCAACACAATTACACAAACTACGGTCATTTTGATTACAAATACTTTGAGAACTATTATACCAAAGGTTTAATGAATTAAAATATAAAGAGATATGTCAATGTTTTTTTCTATTTGAATAAAAACTTGTAACATTTTATTGTAAAGATCAAAGTCAATTGTTGCCTGTAGGGCGACTGAAAAATAAAGAAAAAATTGAGTTACAATCCCTGAAAATTTTGCGATGATCTTTAAACACAATAGACTTTTATTCTGACCCTAATCTAATTACGATCTGTTTATATGTAATTCCCCCCAAAAGATAGTTTTGTGGGGTGTAAAGGAATATTACAAAATGTACAATTCAATACAGCAAAGTACAATTCAAATTGAAAATAATTGATGTAATACAAATATGAGGTCAAAAGTCGGGCGATCGCGATAAAATTTGGCAGAGGTATTTTTGTATCTGACCTGGTGTGAAAGACTTAACACCAAATCGGATAAAACTTATACATGGGACCTAAGTTATATCTGAACCTATTTTCACCAAATTTGAAGTACTTATTTCTGGGCTGAGTTCGGTCTGAAGTACCAAAATTCACTCCATTTGGGCTGATATTAGCCATTTGGTGCACAATAAACCTGAAATCGGAATATGATATATACAGGGTGAGATAAAAAACTGCAACAAAGTCAAAAGCCATAACTTTTATATATTTTTAAAATTTTATTGAATGAAAGCAAAAATGTCGGAAATATCATCAAATTTCGGAATAAGTTTAGATTTGTTCGAAATGGTCACATTTGGCACCAATTATGACGGCCAATGAAACCGTCACACGCTGCCCGAATGTTACTCTGCGGTATTTTGGCCCATTTCCGGCGAAGCGCTTACTTGAGGCGAACGACACTTTGGTATTTTTTAGTGCCAACCTTGCTTTTGAAAATACTCCAGACACAATAGTCCAACGGATTGGTATCCGGAGACTTTGGTGGTGCTGACTCCTGTTGGAATGTCCAAGGTATGCGGCCAAAATGTTTGCGTGCCCAAGGCTTTAATATATCCTCCGGAATATTTTCGCGATAATATTCGGCATTAATGCGAGCGGAGAGCGACCATCGGCTGTTATGGCGCCCCACAACATCACCGTGGCCGGCGCTTGAGTTCTGCTAGCCAACCGAAAGTGCACATTTTCAGCTGACCTCTTTGGCAAGTAAACACGATCATTTTGTTTGTTTACAAACTGCTCGACAACGAATGTTTTCTCATCGGAGAAAACCAAATTCGGCAGTTCACCACTTTCGGCAAAGCGAATCAACTCTTTAGCTCTTTTGAGTCTATTTTCTTTCCGTTGCGGTGAAAGTTCTTGAACTTTTTGAAATTTCAAGGGCTTTACCCCGAGCTCATTTTTCAATATTTGCCGAATGGAATATTGCGATATGTTCAGCTCACGAGCTATTTTCGGCCACTGTGACGCGGGTTTCGATCAAGTCGCTTCTTTACTTTTCGAACCATTTCTGCCGATGTTGCTGTTTTGTTCCGCCCACTTAAATGACGTCGGGCTACGCTACCAGTCGGGCAACGCTACCATTATCCAGACCGATTCGGATGTGCGTAAATACATTCCATTCGGACGAATATTACACATTTGGCACAAAAAATTAAAATCGGACGAAGATATATGAGAGTTATACCTTAATTTTGGCCGATTATCACAAATTTCAATATGGTTCGTCCTTGGGTCAAACAAATCATACATGTGAAATTTCATTATAATTGGACAGAAAATGTTAACTCCATTTTAGTTCTCAATAAAAATACATAGACAGCCAGACAGTCGGACGGACGGGATCCATAAATCGACTTAGAAATTGATTATATGAGGATCCTCAAAAGTTACTATGGGTTACAAACAAATGCACAAACACATAATACCCTAAGCGGTGTAGGGTATAAAAATAACTAGTAAAAAACAGCTACATTCGACCGGGCCGAACTTGGAAGGTAACCTTATATGCCTGCAAATGTATTTTTCATAAGCTGTAGTATCCATTAAGACCTTCATATACGAAATTTGAAACACTTCCGGTGAATAGTGTCGCTAAAATCATCAAAATACCGAATATAGGAGATACGTTATATGGGGGCTATACGAAAACGTGGACCAACATGGCCAATTTACAAACTTAAATACAAAATACACATGTGTGCAAAATTTTAGTCTTGTATCAAAATTCGTTCAAAAGAGTGTGATTACAACAGACAGACGGACATCGCTAGATCGATTTAGAATTTTATGCTTATCCAGAATATATACTTTATAGGGTCTAACATGAGTATTTCGAGGAGTTACAAACGGAATGACAAAGTAAATATACCCTCTTCTTTTACATATATATTGTGCATATTTTGTTAAATTTCCGATGTCTTAGCTGTCATCACCAGTGTAATGGTCAGAAGTGACCCTTACGTGCATTTGTGATTTTTCCGGGGTAAAAAATATTCAAGGTTCAATAGAAATTTTGGTATTTTTGCACAAAATATATTATCCGATGACCATCCAAATGTGCAGGATAAACTCTTACCCCATTGAATGTTCGGCGATCATCTCCCCCAACAATAGGCTTCTATTCTGACCTTAACTCCATGCGAAATGTCGTGAGGACCGGGCCTTAATTGCGACCTGTAGAGTAATTACCAATTAAAATCTACAGACGGACAGATACACATAGCTAGATCAAATTAGCTCGACGATATATATATGTAAAATCCGACCCCTTACAAATAAAAAAATAAAACCAATTATATATTTTCATACTTTAAATCTGAACACATTTTTATAATCAACACCATAGAAAGGAGGCTATATTAAATTTGTTATTCCATTTCTAACGCCTCTGATTATTTATGGGACACGTCATAAAATTTATATATTCTTGATAAGCATAAAATTCAAAGTCGATTTAATATCACCTGTATTTGCCCCTGTCTGTTCAAAATCCAGATACATTCAATATTATTTGACTTAGAGTCATATAACGGTATCTCCAGGTTATTTTGATGACTTGGGCAAAATTTTGTTAACGGAATTGTTCACAATAAGTAGCAAGATCATATAAACATTTCGATAAAGCTTCCGTGTAACGGTGCCGTGAACTTTATGGGTTATTAAATACTTTAACTGCATTGCCGAAACCACATAGTGGTGGGTATTATGACTATGTGCATTTCTTTGTAACATGGAAGCGAGATGGACCCATAGTTACTTTTGAGGATCTTCATAGAATCACTTTCTGAGTCGATTTATGCATGTCAGTCAGTCCGTCCATTCATGTATTCTTGTGAACAAAATACAGATCGCTTTTACAATTCGATTGAGATGAAATTATGCAAGCAATATTTTTTTTGATCCAAGGACGAACCCTATTGAAATTGCTGATAATCGGATCAGATTTAGCTCCTATATATCTTCAACCGATTTCGGGCTAATTGTGCACCAAATGGCTAATATCAGACCAAATGACCTGAATTTTGGTACATCGAATTCGGAGAAAATTGGTTCAGATATAGCTATAGCTCCCATATATTGGATGAAATAAAACCAGTAAGGAAAGTCTTAAATTCGGGCGGGCCGACTTTATGATGTCCTACACCACTTTGCATATTTAGTAGAGCTTCGCATAACAATTAAAAGTTTTTTGTGGGTTAATTAAATAATATAAGCTATGATTGTAATTATAATTTAAGTTCAAAGGACTTAATTTGCCGAAGAATTTGCTTATTCTCAATTGGGGCTTTTATTGCTCATTTGGTGCACAATTAACTTGAAATCGGATATAGATATATATGGCAGCTATATCCAAATCTGAACCGATCTCGATAAAATTTGGCATAGATATTTCTGAGCTGTATTTGATATATGTTCCGGAATATCGTTGTCACGGAGTGCATGTTACGGAATTTGACGTACTAGCTTCTAGACAAAATTCGGTAGTAAGAGCCAAATTCCATCCCATTTGGTCTAATATTACACGTTTGGTGCACAATAAAAAGCAAATGGGACGAAGTTGTATATGGGAGCTATATCCAAATCTGTCCCGATTTGGATATAATTTAGCAAAGTAATTTGTGAGCTGTATTTGATATATTTCCCCAAATACTGTTGTTACAGAGTGCATATTACGGAATTTGACGTACCAGCTTCTAGACTAAATTTGGTTGTATGTGCAATATTCGATACTATTTGGGCTGATATTACACGTTTGGTGCACAAAAAAGGCAAATCGGACGAATATATATATGGAAGCTATATCTAAATTTTGACTGATTATCTCCAATAGGGTTCGGTTGGGCCAAACAAATGACTTGTGCAATATTTCATCTCAATCGAATAATAAATGCGACCTGCATTTTGTTCACAAGAATACATGGACAGACGGACGGACATGCATAAATCAACTTAAAATGTGATTCTATGCTGATCACCGAAAGGAACTATGGGTCTATCTCGTTTCCTTCTTCATATTACAAACTAATGCACAAATACATAACGATAGCCACTTGTTTTTTCCAGCGAAATATAAAGAAAACCCACTATCACGCTTGAATTCCATCACGAATAACTTTTTTCCGGAAAATTCTCACCACAAAAGCAGTCTGAAGTTGGTTCCCTGTATATGTCTCATTTTACCCTGTATATGTTTCAACCGATTGGGTGTTTAAATCTCCCACTTTCGGAATATGCACTCTACAATAATGATATTTTGTACCATATATCTCATAGAGCTCAGAAATAACCAATATAAACCTTTTTTAAGAGGGCTCTACTAAATGTGCATAGTGGTGTAGGGTATATAGTCGGACCCACCCCACTTTTAACCTTTCCTTACTGGTTTTACATAGAATGCATTAAAATGCACTTCCTTATACTTCATTTTAATGAGTTTCATTTAAGGCAAACAACTGAAATGGACTTAAATCATTTTTAATTATACCCTCCACCTTGAAAAGGTCATTCCGTTTGCAACACCCCTAAATATTCGTCGTAGACCCCAGAACGTATATATATATCCATGATCAGCATAAAATTCTAAATCGATTTAACGAGGTTCTGTTGAAATCACGATACATCCCACATTATTTGACATAGAGCTTTAAAATTCAGCACAACAATTTTTATTGTCTCTAGGATGGTGAATGAGAAATGAATGAAATTGATAAATGAGATAGATCAGTCTACGTTTTTGTATAGCCGCCATATAACGGTTCCTGCCAATATTCGGTATTTCGATGATTTTTGCCACATCTTTTTACGGATTTATCTAAAAATTGGTATTTGTAGGTGTAATGGATTCTAGCTGCGGTGGAAGAATACTGAATATCTATATCCATGCACATATAACGGTACCTACCGATATTCGGTGTTTTGATTATCCTAGTAATATTTTTTCAAATTTGGCGTTTAAGACTCGCACCCGTTTTTGGTATGACCCCATATAACGGCCTTACTAATTTTGTGGTCTTTTGATAAATTTAACTGCATTATCCAAACGGTCTTACTGGAATATGAAGTTAAAAGTGCAACACGCTTGAATTCAGATACTTTTATATAAAAACAAATAAGCAAGGGCTATAGACGTGCGGGGCCGACCATGTGATACCCTACAACACTACAATATGTTAGAAGCTCCCTTATGTCCAAATCCATTTTGGAAGATTTCGCTTTTGAAATTTTGTCACGGAACACTACCCAAATATTACCCTTAGCATTTTGACCAGGGACATTTGTTGTGTCCATTTTACAGCTAAATATATTCCAATGGTCATACAAAATGCTGTCCTTAACTCTCTTCTCAGGTGTGACAATTGGCTTCAATTGTGTGATCAGAAATTTTTCTTTTGTTTTTGGTTCATTTTAACAACTAAATATTTTGTGATCATTTACAAAAAACAAGAGGCCCCTCTGTATCTCCACATTGAGACTCATCTATATGATTTGATTGTCTACGATATTTGGTTCTATTCGTCAACGAAATCAGCATAAAAAAGCCAGATGTTCGCCTTTTGTGTATTTCTGATATTACCCGTGAGTAATGTTGGTATTTTTTTCACACAAAAGCAGTGGTCCATTCTACCCGCTGCCCTAAATTCTAACTTCATGCGAGATTTCTTGTCATTTGGCTTCTATTTGTTACCTTTATAACGGCTGCAAGATCAGGAACATTTTTAGTTGTTGGTTCACTTCAACCCCTAAATATATTGCGGGCATATTTGAAAACAATAGGCCTAGTCCTTCTTTGACCTTTCCTTGAGCCTAACCCTTCTCTTATGAAAATTTTCGTGAGAATCGGACAATAATTGCAATCTGTATATAATATCCCCAACCTGTGTGGTAAGGTGAAAAAAAATTTACAAAATATACACTTCAATATCAAATTGAAAAAATCGCATGCGATAAAAAATATTAAAAAATAAAAAAATGTCACAAAATACTACAAAATCTATATTAACATCATTATTGACATCTTTTTATGCGATTTTTTTTAGATTGTATACTTTTATGCCAAGAAGGCATTCTGAATTGACAAAATTTGTCAAAATCGGTCCAGCCATTCTTGAGATATAAACGTTCTAGCTAGCATCCCCTTCCTTTGTATGTACACATTGTATATATTTCGCTATATAACCGATATATTTACTATCGCCATCTACAAAACGGTCAGAATTGACCTCTTTGTTTATTTGTGATTTCGCCGGGATTACAAATATTCGCGATTTAATGGAAAATTTTATTTTTATTTAATACAAATATTATGGTCTATTTTACCCACTAAATATTATCCGATGACCACAAGAATTGGAAGCCTTCTGGTCAGCCCTCAGTTCTAGCCATATTCTGACTTTCGCGTCGATTAGTCTATAATTGCGACCTATAGAGCATCTGCAAAATCAGGAAAATTTTCAATTGTTGGTCCATTTCAACCTCTAAATATTATGCGATCATCTCCTTAACCCCGGCTCCATTTTAAATTTCGTGAGGATCGGGCCATAATTACGACCTGTAGAGTTATTACAAATTAACATGTACAGACGGACATACATAGCTAGATCGACTCAGCTCGGCGATATAGGAAGATCAATATATACTTTCCTATGTTGGAAAACAATATTTCGAGGTGTTACATAATTTTTGGCTCAATCAAACTTATAATACCCCCAACACATAGTGTTGTAGAGTATAATCATTCCTTTCAACCATGCCGAACTTAATGATTTTTTACTTGTTTTTATTTAAAAGTTCAGTCACTCAAAACCGAACTACAATTAAAAGATACTGTTGCGATCGATTACTGGAGTCACTTGGAATCACTACTATGACTTCCAATTTTCCCCTGTTTAGCCTCAAACTGAGAAGTTCCAAAAGCTCAGCACTCATATATAATTGAAAAGGCTGTAATTCTCTGTATTTTCGTACCCTTGATTTGCAGATTTTCATATATTACGTCTTTTCTTATATCTCTGCACCAGGAGTGACCCCAATCACAGTTCGTGCCCTTAAAGTACAAATTTCCAAAATCCAAAATCAGTGACGCTCAAAAGAAATTTAATTTAATTCAATGCCAGCTTCAAACATTCCTCGATGGGCCAGTCTTTCACCACTATAAGATAGAAGTAGAATTAATTGTTGAGGTAAATAGTTTGAAATTTGTTATTTAAAATTTTCAGTAAGTATCAAGTTGTCCTAGATATGAGTATACTGCACCATATTAGCTATGTTTTCGCCATATTTTCCAACGTAAGTTAATATTCCGAGATCATTATTGGTACCAGAGCCTCTGACAGCGAAATGTCTTTATAGATTGACGTGTTTGTATAGTTTCCAAATAATGGAATTATACAAACATATTGACATTTAAGAGAGTAAGGAAGCACAAATGTTTTGTACAAATATTTCAGAACGGTTGCATTCGGATATATTTACAAATGGTGTAATTTCATCAGCTATTAAAATTTAGCCCAACTTAACACCTTTTTTGTTTATTAACAAATACTAAAGAAAAAAAAAAACAAAGTAACTAATTTATTTTTGTTTTTTTTTTTTTTCAAATTTTAACATTGGGCATTGTTATATTTCTTTGTTATGGGCATGTTTTGTCATACATACAATCTTATATGGCTAAATTAATAAATAATAATCATAATGGTAATAATAATAGTAATAAATTATTTAATTAATGCGATCTCTATTTAGACTAATTATTTAAAAATTAAAAATCTTTAAATAACTGGTAATCACTTTGGTCTACTGCCTGGGCGGGTTTCCAATCACCTTCGGGATAATCATCAAAATTGCTTGTATCTCCGTCGAATTGCACCTCTGGTATGATTGGAGGCTGTTTTAAGAAAGAAGAATAAAGAATGCAATGTTAATAGAAACACCACTAATAGCAATTCATTATTTAACCAAAGTATTAAATTAGCACAGCAAATATAAATAAAAGAAAAAATTTGGCATAATTATTAAACAAAAGAAATAGATGCAAGAAAAATACTACAAATATCATACAATAAGTGCAAAAATTATAAACAAATAAAAAATAAATCAAACAATGATTGTATTTGGCAATGGTTGAAAACAATAAACTACAAGTAATATAAATATTCTTTTGTTTTAAAATAAGTTCTTGCCAGGAGGGGGATATAGTAGTATATTCTAGACTGTATCACAAAATTTGTTGAAAACTGATTTACAATCTCTATCAATGACTTCAAATTTAAACAAAATAACTTTTAATATAATAAATTCTTTAGAATCAACGGGATTTTTATACCCTCCACATTGGAAAGGAGGGTATATTAACTTTGTCATTCCGTTTGTAACATCCTTAAATATTCGTCTTAGACCCCATAAAGTATATATATATTCATAATCAGCATAATATTCTAAGTCGATTTAACGATGTCAGTCTGTCCGTCTGTCTGTTGAAATCACGATACAGCCCACATTATCTGACGTAGAGCGCCAAAATTTAGCAGAGCTATTTGCATTGTGTCTAGGATGGTTGGTATTGAAAATGAGATATATCGGTCCACGTTCTGGTATAGTCCCCATATAACGGTACCTCCCGATATTCGGTATTTTGATGATTTATGCCACATTTTTTCACGGATTTGTCTGGAAATTGGTATTTTTAGGTTATAACGGGTCCCTGAGCGTGTGGCAAAACATTGCATGTATAGGTCCGCGTTGTGGTATAGCCCCCATATAAAGGTACCTCCCAATATTCGGTATTTTGGTGATTTTGGACACATTTTTTCACGAATTTCTCTGAAAATTGGTAGTTGTAGATCATAATAGGTCCCAGTTCGTGTGGCGAAACATTGTATGTATAGGTCCGCGTTTTGATATAGCCCCCATATAATGGTACCTCCCGATATTCGGTAATTTGATGATTTTTGCCACATTTTTTCACGGATTTGTCTGAAAATTGGTATTTCTAGGTCATAATGGGTTCTAGCTCCTTTGGCGAAACATTGCATGTGTAGGTCCAAGATTTGGTATAGCCCCCATATAACGGCATCTCCCGATATTCGGCATTTTAATGGTTTTTGCCACATTTCTTCTAATGTTTCCTTTACCCGGCCGAACTTAATGTTTTTTTGCTTGTTTAATATTTCTTCTGTTTTCATTTGATGCCTAGTGTTTTTTCATACACAATATTCCACCCCATATATCTGCCATTATAGCATTAATTGAATCTCATTATTTGTCAAAGATCACATTTGGCTTTTTTTATAGTTTGCAGTGACGTCTCAGAATTAAATATGAGGCTAATATTTGAAAATGTTGTTGTAAATAGGGTTGGTTCGAGTATGAATCATTTTGGTGAATGTTGAATGGCAATTAATTGAAACTATATGTAGGTATTGTATGTTCTTATGTGTGCTTTTGAGTGAAATAAGCAGGTTCTGCTAGACAATTGAGACAGATGCAATTTGTTCGAATACAGATAACAATTAATAGAAAAAAATATATTGTAGACGCAAATTATTATTTGTTTTCTTTTTTCTAACAATAATATTCAATGCTAGAAAAATAATAACAAGTGAGTTATTTATACACATATATTGGTATGCAAAAATGTACACTTTTTTAAAAAGTGTCGGGTGAGGTGACAATTTGTGTAAAACATAATACTTGGAAATTGTTTCATATCGTTATGGGCGATTTATTACGGTAACGTATACATGGGATATCGAACAAATAAAATGCCCATAGAAAATATTTATGCAAATAATTAAATTTGCTTCAAAATCTTTTAAATATCGCATGAGCCGAATAACCCATTACAAGATAATGTAAAATCGGTAAGGAAAGGTCAAAAGTCGGGCGGACCGACTATATAATAACCTATACCACTAAGCTTTTTTAGTAGAGCTCCCGTAACAAAAAAGTTTGTGAAATAGATCATACCTACTATGAAACTTATTTAAACGCGTATCATGGCTTTAGAGTAGTCACAATTTGGGAACTATATCCAACTCTTATTTGATTTTCAACAAATTTGACGGAGACTTTTGTACCTATAGCACCAAATAACATTGCTGACTTCGATGAGAATTATATTAAAAAACTATTTACTGGAGCAGTAGACAGAGTTTCACCAAATGGAAAAATTCGGTTGAGTATGAAGAAATTTATCCAATTTGGGCTGATGTTACATATGTGGTTCAAATAACCGGAAAATGGGATAAAGATGTATATCGAAGGTATATAAAAATCTGAACCGATCTCAGTAATATTTGGCAGAGGTATTTGTATACGATATATGGTACCACCTATCATTGTTGTGGAAAACATATTGCGCATGTGAGGGACTTTAACACCAAATCGGACGAAACATATATGAGAACTATAGCTATATTTGAACCGATTTTCACCAAAATTTGAAGTACTTGCTTCTATATTGTATTCTCTCGGAAGTGCAAAATTTCAGTCAATTTGGACTGATATTAGCCATATGATCTGAACCGGTTTTTACCAAAAGTTGAAGTATTTGCTTCTGTGAACATTTTTATGTTCCACGTCCAAATTACAGGGTGAGATGAAAAAACTGCAACCAACTTCAGACTGCTCTCATTTCTAAGCCACTAGTCCGACAGCTGTTAAAATTATTCCAGTGACAGCTTATTATATTGTTTACAGGTATACAAAAGCATTTTGGTGAGAATTTTCCAGAAAAAAAGTTATTCGAGCGTGATAGTGGGATTTCGTTATATTTGGCTGGAAAACCACAAGTGGCCATCGTTAGAGCACTCCTTTGTGTCTCGTACCATCGCTCGTTAACGTGATACTAGAAGCGTTGCCCGAAGTCAAGGAAGTGGACGGAAGAAAACAGCAACATCAGCAGAAATGTTTCGAAAAGTAAAAAAGCGACTGGCCGAAAATGGCTCGTGTGGCTTGGGTTCTTGATTGTCATAATATATTCGATAAATATGGTTCGCGAGGACCAGTTTGTTCATTATTTGACTTTATTCTTGAACATCTTACCATAATTTGTTAGCCCTCATAACACGTTATTCAACGGAATGGGTCAATATATGTGCTTTAATATCTTAGAATAGTTTCTGCAATATCATCATAGGAATAGAAGATTTAAAATATTTGGCTACAATATATACCAAAGTGCAATAAAAGCATAATTGAGGATAATACACTGACGTTACTAGGAAGCTCCTGCCGGAATGATAATGACATAACTATACAAGACGTTAATGAAAGACTCAATCAAAAATTTTTGTAGTCATAACCAAACAAATAAGCAAGGGTGAGAGATAGCCTACAGAACTATAATTTCCGGTAAATTTTTGTAGATCTAAAACCCTTTGGACTGTAATGAAGAAACTCCTTATGATATTAGGATACATAAGATATCATTCTAAATGTCATGTTTGGTTCTTGAGAATTCATAAATAATGTAATAATTATGTAATTCTTGTCATTATACATTACTCCGTTCGAACTTGACCAGTGCTACAAAACAATGTCAAGTTCCATTAAAAAATGCATTTGATATTGCCGTGTGTATATTTTGCTTTGTATGTTTTGACTATATAAGTCTACGAAATCAGCATCAATGTAAAGGTCGGATGTGCTGCTTTTTGTATGGAAATTTTGGAATTATCATTTTCACCCCCTTAATACTTCGCGATCATCTTCTCCACCTATTGGCTCTAACCTTATGCGAAATTTCTTAACTGTCACATTTTCTTTATCCGTTTTCCAAAAAAAAAAAATAAAATAACTATAATATTTTAATGAATCACGTGGACGTCAATAGTGCAGATGCCTTCGATATTGTTGATGTTTGTTAAAATAATTACATGTAATAAAATAAAAATCATTTAGTGTAATAAAAATACACAAACGATTAAATGTAAACAAATCGAAAATACCAAAATTTGCTTTATTTTCGACACATGTAAACATTTGCATATACATGGATCGTGAAATTATAAATCTGAAATATTTACAATTAAGGAACATTGATATGGCCAAATGAACAATGTAATGGTCGACATGATTAATAACACAACGAATGGCAAGAAGTGCAGCAGAGCAAGAAGGAGGTGAATTGTGACAGCAATCTAATGAACATTGTAAATTTGAAGGGGCGAGAGGAAGGTAGTGTTTTGAAAAAAGGTCTATAGAAATATTGCCTTTTCAGATGGTTATTTTTGTATTTCAAACATTGTTTATGCTAATCATATTCTATTCAATATTGAATAATTTGATAATATATAAAAACTTTTTTATTTAATTTTGAATGTCTGAGTGTATCTGTAGTATTTCGCATCACTCAGCACAGTATGTTTAAAGGCTTTCCCTTGTTAATTGGCTCACGCCACTTCCCAAAAGGCAAATCGTTGTGGTTATGGTATAAAGAAGACGGGGTGGAAATATGTGGGATGATAGATTCACGTACCTATGTATGTGTATGAAAAATGAAAATAAAAAGTACATTAAGAAAACCACGTCTCGAACAAAAAATGGGAAATTTCTACAAACAAACCAATGTTTGCAAAATTACTCAATTTCACAGCTTCCATAATGGAAAACTCTAGAGCATTTTAGTAACAAATAAAGAGCTGCAAAAATAAAAGCGACAACTAGTATACAGGGTGAGATGAAAAAAACTGCAACCAACTTCAGACTGCTGTCATTCCAAATCCACTCGTCCGACAGCTGTTAAAATTATTCCAGTGACAGCTCATTATATTGTTTACAAGCGTACAAAAGCATTTTAGTGAGAATTTTCCAGAGAAAAATGTTATTCGTGATGGAATTCAAGCATGATAGTGTGATTTCTCTATATTTTGAGCTGAACATGTCGCAATATTCCATTCGCAAATAATGAAAAATGAGCTCGGGGTAAAGCCATTGAAAATCCAAAAAGTGCAAGAACTTACACCGCAACTGAAAGAAAATAAACTCAAAAGAACTAAAGAGTTCCTCGCTTAGCCGGAAGTGGTGAACTGCCGAATTCGGTTTTCTCTGATGTGAAAACATTCGTTGTCCAGCAGTTTGTAAATAAACAAAATGATAAATGCCGAATATTATCGCGAAAATATTCTGGAGGCTGAATTAAAGACTTGGGCACGCAAATATTTTGGCCGCAGACTTTGGACATTCCAACAGAATTCAGTAACATCGCACTCAGCACGCGCCACCCAAGAATGGTTACAAAATGAGGTTCCTCGCTTCATTTCCCGCTCACAATGGCCACCAAAATCTTCGGATACCAATCCGTTAGACTATTGTGTCTGGAGCATTTTAGAAAGCAAGGATGGCACTAAAAAATACCAAAGTGTCGATCACTGAGCCAAAATACCGCAAAGCAATATTCGGACGGCGTTTGAGGGTTTTATTGGCCGTTTGAAGGTCATAATTTATGCCAAAGATGACCAGTTCGAACAAATCTAAACTAATTCTAAAAGTTGATGCTGTTTCCGACATTTTTTGCTTTTATTCAATTAAATTAAAATATAAAAATTATGGCGTTTGACGTTGTTGCAGTTTTTTTTTTATCTCATCCTGTATATGTGTTTTAAGAAAATATATAAGTTACAATTTTCACAAAGAATTTTATTTTTTGTTGAAAACTGTGGTTAATCTCAAATAATGTAACCATCTAGGTCGGCCCAACGATATAGCCAGCGAGGGGTCAAGTGGGAATTGTCCATTTCCAAAATAGTAAATTTTTAGATATACTTAGCGAATTTAACTTACAAACCAATTTATTCTTTGCAATTGAGTGTGTGAGACGAATGAGACGATATGTACCTTGCCCTGTGGTGCGATTCCTAAATTCATTTTTCGAGTTACCGATAAAAATCGGTTAAATTAAAATTCATTTAATTTCGGTAACTAACGACATTTTTCATTGAATTACCGACCAAAATGAAGTAGTCGTTAAGTCCTACCGATAAAAACAGTGTTGTCAACGTTTATTTGGACTTATCATTCATAATTTTGGGTTCTAATTTTACGAATATTTGTCGGTAACTCAAAATGCGTTACAGAATCCCACTACTGATCTATAGTAATTATAATACAAAGCTTTCCATTTTAGTAATATCGTCATAAAATTATACATAAAGCCCTGCATATTACCAATCCGTCTCTAATTATGTTACTTTTGCCCAATTAGATCGAATTTAGGATCATACGATCAAGTTCCGATTATAATATACACTGCTAAGTTTGGCTAAATCGATTCAGACAATATCAACATTACTCCTTTTGGCTACCTTATCTAAAAAAAGTACTAACATGTATCATTGGCAAGCGGGCTTCTGAAGAAAATTTTTGACAATGTGTGCTATGAATTAGTGGGAACTGACACAATAGATGAAGTGCTTTGACCACTTATTTTTAGATTCAATTCAAATAATATAATGATAATGATGAAATAACATAATGTTTATAATTTAATAGTTTATAATTTAATGATTGCCCTTCTCCCTGCATGGAAATATTTTCCAAAATATTGCAAATGCTTAATCGAAGTTCTTAGATATCATATTTCTGTTTTTTGAGCTTTATTTCTTTTAAAAGAATTTTGTTAATTGTAGGGATGACAATAAGCAAATAAATCAAAATGTTTAACACATCGATGTGTTATTTTGGTGTCAAGACATTGTCCGTTCAGTATATGAGATTTAATTGACAAATTGTAGTTTTTTACAGATCTCAATAAAGATTTAGTCCATCATTTCCCTGTAATTTTTATTTTCCCTGTAATCGTATATTAAATTACTTATTTTAGTAAAACTTGCAGGTGTTTGTTTTGTAATTATTTCATGAAAAATAATCCACTTATTTTGCTTTTTGAATATGGAATATTTTTGAAAATGCTTACTTATCATTCAGATGTTCTGTATTCTATATATAAGAACTTATATTGTGTACAATTTAGAAAAGAACCACTTGAAACCTATTAATCATTTGCAATAATTCCAAAATAAATGCACGTGCGTGCGTCTTCTTTTTTTTTAGTAAACAATCGAATTGTTTTTAAAAGAAGAAATTTCATTTTCTATCAGTGGGTGTGTATTAGATTTTGGGTTAGCAAATGAAAAAAGCATTTCAAATTTAAATTAAAAAATAAGAGAATCAAATTGTTATTGTTGCTTTTGTTGAAGTGCTCTGAAACCATACCTTAAGCTTTTTGTTGTAGACGTCATCCCAATTCAATTCTTTAAACCATCGATGCCTTTTAACGTCATCGGCCCCATTCTGAAAAAAAAAAAGAAATAGAAAACATAGAAGAAACAATCGGTTATATATAAATCGATAAAATAAATAAATAGAAAACATTGAACGTAAATGGAAAAGAAAACATAATTTAGTAGCCGCAATCATCATCAATTATCTATTGGACATGTTTTTGTGTATTTTATGAATGTGTGAAAGAGCTAAAGTAGTAATACTAGCAACATTTTCTAGATGATATTTTAAGGCACTCATCTGATGGATTGCCAAAATTACAATTAAATAGGTGTGATTTGTCCGAAAGTTCTTCTTAATTCCATGAGAATTTTCAATTTTTCAGTTGATCAATTCGTAGCCAATATTTAGTTAAAATGGGTGTTACCTATAGAAGAACTGCATTTTCATTCCCATAATTATCAAACCACCCTTAAAATTTAAAGAGAACATAGATCACATTGAACCTCATTTAAAAACTCCTCTTGCTTAATATATCCTTTGGATAGAGTTTTGTCTGAAACTTATGGATCCATGTTTCACGTATTGTCACCTTCACGTGTGTTTCACGTGTGTCATAATTTAAATGTTTAAAGTTGTCGATTCAAAATATATGTTGATATATCTGTTTATAAACTGTTTGTATAAGCGTATATGAACTTAAGGAAATCCTAAAATAATATTAGACCTATTGAGCCCGTAATACAAATGGAACTGTGTTTGATCCTGTATAGATGTTTTGAATTATTGTCTCTAAAATTCTATGATACATCGGTGTAATATTGAATGTGTTATAACTTTTTCCTATCTCATCTCTTGTAAGCTGTTCATTCCGTTTATTTAAAAGTTGATATTTTTTCTTCTAATCTTTTTTTTAATATGCGGCTATATATCCGTTTTATGGTGAAACAAATGTATATATTTTTAATCAACGTTTTTTGGTTTGTTAAATGGATTCTTTCTGGTATTATAGAGCCGTTCATTGTAGAATAACAAAAAATGTGAAAAAATTAATAAAAACTAGGACATACATATATGTTCAAATCAAGATAAATATAAAAGTTATAAGCTAGACGAGACACTTAATTTTTAAGATTGAAGAAACTCATGCAAAAGTATATTAAGACGTGTACTCTGTAATTAAATATATTCGTCAATAATTTAAAGTATAATCCCAAATTTTATTTAATTAGACATTTAAATTCGCCCTGTTAAGCTTTTCACTCCTATTACATCTTCTGCAGAGTACTAGCCTTTTTGTCAAAATTATTTACATAATTTAAAAAAAAGCTCGATAAAAGTTCTATGGCAAAGTCTACTCACTTTGGGCCCCTTCAATCCAGAATCAACTGTCGTCGCAGTTTTATCTTTTTTCTAAGAGAAAATGTAACAACAAACATTATTTGTCTAATAGGCTAACAAAAACGCTGATGAACAAGTTTGAATGAATGAAATATTGTCTAAATTTAGTTTCGATGTAACAGTCAGACGTAATACTGCCATTCATTGGACAAAGGGCAATGGTCAATATATTTTCTTTGAAGAACACGGTGCGAAAAGTTTGGGGTCTGAACAGTTATTTTCGACGATGACAGCCCTTGAATTCATTAAAGTGCCAAAGAGGTTGTTGCGCTTTTATGCATTTCTTGATTGCAATTTATTTATTTGTTATTTTATATAATTTCTTAGATATCATGTCTGTGATCAAATCGAATGAAGGAATATTTACAGAATATTTTGTCTTAATGAACTAATTCCTTCAAACTCATTTTCGTTTTCTAGACGTAGCAAAAGTGTCACAAGATTAGAAAGTTTGGCAATCCTATAGGGTAGGACCCTCAAAAACAATAAAACAATTTTTTTTATTTGGTATTGGAAATGGGCTATATAGGTCCACGTTTAGGAATAGCCCCCATATAACTGTACCTCCCTATATTCGGTATTTTTATGACATTTTTCAGCGGAATTTTTTTAAATTTCGTATTTGCACTTCATAACGGGTACTACAGCCTGTGACAGAAAGTTGCTTATGCAGGTTCATATCTTCCTATATTATAATTGTACCTCCCTATATTTGGTATTTTGATGATTTTAGGGAATATTTGAAACGGAATTGTTTCCAATTTCGTAATGATAGCTCGTAATGGGTACTACAACCTGTGATGGAAAATTAGCTATGCAGGTCCACGTCTATTTACAGCCCCGAGCCGAATGTTGGATGACGCTTCGGATTTCTGTTGCGGATTTCGACTACTGACCGAAATTTGTATACCCTACATCACACTGTGGTCAGGGTATTATGTCTTTGTACATTTGTTTGTAACATAGGGAAGGAACCCATACCCTTTTGGACTCATAATTCCTTTTGATCATCTTCATAGAATCATACTCTGAGTCTATTTATGCATGTCCGTCCGTCTGTCCGTCCATCTGTTCATGTATTTTTGTAAACAAAGTACAGGTCGGTTGTATTGCCCCATCAAGATAATCCGTTAAAATTTAGATATATCTCTAATATATATTTTCGTCCAATTTGCCTCTTATTGTGTACCAAATGTGTAATATGAGTCCAAACAGAATGACAATTTGGCACGTACGACCAAATTTATCCCAGAAATAAGTATGCCAAATTTTATGAAAATCGGTTCAGATATAGCTATAGCTCTCATGTATATGTATAATTCCATTTATTATTTTGTCTTCCACAAGCGGTTAATATAAGCACAAATCAAATGGATTTCGGCACATACGAACAAATTAATCCTGGAAAAAAGGGTATAGAATTTGGTGAAAATCGGTTTAAGACACGGGTATAAGTCCCATAAATGTATGTTTCATCCGATTTTGTATTTATGTCCCTCACACTCGTAAAATGCACTCCACAACAACGATATTGGGTAACGACTATTAGATATAGCACACAATATATCTGCTTAATTTTATAGAGATCTGTTCAGATTTGTATATAGCTCCATTATATATCTTCATCCGGTCCAAAGAGGTAACGGCAATTTACTTGTAGTAGATATATGTAATGTGTCCTGCTACACTCTGATATACGAAATGTTCCTGTATTTGTTTAAGATAGTACACACATGCTGAATGTCGTATCTCTCTTGGAAGATATTGCATTACAGGCACCGGATGTATGCCTAAATAGTTCAAAGCGACATACATATACATTTATTAGTAATATAGCTTCTTATAAAGACAAGGTCGGGCATTTTGAATCTTTCGGTAATTTTGACAAAGATTTATGAAATATCGAACAGATAGCGAGAGTTTCCGGGTTCGTTCGAGTGTGAAAGGCTTTCTCGCAGCTGTAATTGATTATAGGGACGAAATGTCCGACTTAGAACATTCAAATTAATTTGGGGGTTTTCTGAACTAGTCTGGTGTTTTTAATCGGACATGGGCCTTATAGAAACAATTCTTACTTGTATGACAAATATAAGCTTTAAATGATTTTTATAAGCTCTTCACTTAGCTACATAGAGTAACAATTTTTATTTGTTTATGTTTACATGCATCCACTTGTATACTTCACAAATGTGTATGTGTCGTCGTTATTATTTTTAATATAAATTTGAAATACCATTTCGGCAAACTGAACATTTCAACAACACCTTGTTGGTATTCACTAGATGATTGTTATGATTGTAGAACAATATTTTTTGTTTTAATTGGCAAATAACAATCAAATAATTTAATCTAATTATTAGTGACGAGCTTTCAAATTAAAAAATAATAATAATGATACGAAATTGATATAATTGGCAGTACATAGAGGTTATATTTCATTAGAAATCTAAACACACTTTGCCTCAAATAAAATGTGGGGTTTTAGAATGAAGCATTAAACGTAATTCTCTGCCGTTTTTATTACGACTGTTTTGCTACTTGTGTGCTTAATATTTTGACCGAATACTGTCTTCAATTAATTTCAAATTTTATAAATCAGAGCAAAATGTTCACAAAGTGTTGTAAAATTTAATAATAAAAAAAAACTATTTATTTGTGTACATTAGATGTTGCACACGTTTTCCTGGCATGTAACAACCGATGAAATTGGGTGCTTCATGGCCTTTGATGGCGGTCGCAAGCAACTTGTATGCGGCAGCGCCGCTTATATACTACAACAAAACGGCTGAGATAAATTTGAATATCTATTTTTGGTCTATTGCAATAAACACAATAATTAATTATAGAAATGATTTGTTAAATCGATTCATTTAACATCTTCATGTGAAAAATCGACAGATGGAAGAGGGCTTGAACTTTTTTAAGATAATAGAATAATTTATAGGTGGTGTAGGTACATTTAGAAGCAATGATTTTCTCTCAAGGACAGTTGATTTCACTTATATAGACCAATTGTAGGAAGGAAAAACTTCTGACCAGTTTGAGTTGTATTTTATGGTATGCGGAAAAGTTTATTAAAAATTTGCGATGTTGAAAAGCTTTCGCTTCTAGATTTCCCTAGCATATAAATGTCAAATAAAATCAAGTATTTTGCAATTCTTACTAATTTTATGGAAATATATATAATTCGTATTTTTGCTTGATTTAAAATTCGTAGTCAATCATCCTTTCAGATTCAATACTAAAATCATTTATTTCAGTTACTGCTAGGATGGGATTCAACAATAACAATTCTATCAAATATTTATTTTTGAACAAAAAACATAGATAACCTTCATGAAACATAATTCTACAATCATTTGCAGTACACGGATATGTAAATGAATGTTTTCTTAATGTATTAAAATGTATGTTGTAAAAAAGAACACAATAATTAAAACCAAATTGTTTATACTGACCTTCATGTTGCCCAAGCGTTTTGTTCGATCATTTGTTAACAGCTTCTTAACCAAGTCTTTCGCTGAGGGATCTATGTGACGTGGCCATTCGATTTTGCCGCCCAAAATCTTTTCATAGATACCAAATGGATTTTCATCATAGAATGGCGGATAGCCAACCAGCATCTCATAAATCAGAATGCCTAAATACGAATATAAAATTGAAATAAATAAAATTGTTATACACACAAAGCTAGCATGCAATAGAACACCTACCCAGAGCCCACCAATCGACAGCCTTATTGTGTCCCTTGGATTGTATTATTTCAGGTGCCAAATATTCTGGTGTGCCGCACAGTGTCCAGGTTCGATCTCTTAATTTCTTGGCAAAGCCAAAATCTGTGATCTTCAAATGGCCATCACGATTTATGAGTAAATTTTCTGGTTTTAAATCTCTATACACAATTTGCAATGAGTGTAAATACTCTAAGGCCAATACAATTTCGGCTGCATAAAAGTTGGCTAAACATTTCGAAAATAGAGGGAAAAGAAAAGCGAAACATTTCGCATTAGGACGTTATTGCGGATAAAATGACGTACACGATTGTTTCTATTCACACATCCAAGTGATAATTGATAACTTACACGTGGATCTATTAAATCTACCGGCATTTCTTAAATATGTGAATAATTCACCACCACAGACGTACTCAAAAATCATATACAAACAGCAATCATCTTTGGTGGACCATTCTCTGGAAATAGAGAGATAAAATATACAATCAATATAATACATAGTAAGAGAATAAATACTTGAGATCCCATATGTCAGAACCCCATAGGGAAGTGATATAAAGTGTGAGCACACATATGAAACATTTGCTAAGCAGAGGAATTAAGTTTAACATAGCAGAAAGCATGAAATGCTGATTCGTGAGGCCTGTTCTATAAGCAAGTCTAATATTAAAATCAAGATTTAAGAAGATTGGTGTTTTCGGATGTTGGTTTTCCCGACGTCCCGTGAAGTCGGACCGATTGTCGTGAAGTCAGATGGAGATACATATGAAACCTACATCCAAATCTGAACTTATCGCGATAACATTTGGGAAAGGGTTTTCTGAGCTCTATTAAATATCTTGTACCAAATATCATCGTTATAGATTTCATATCACGAAATTAAGGCATAACGAATCCGATGAAACATATATATGGAAGCTATAACTATATCTAAAACGATTTTTACCAAATTTGATTTACTTGCTTTTAGACTGAATTCGGTAGGAATTCTCAAAATTTACACAATGCAGGCTGATATTAACTATTAACCAATAAACCTAAAATCGGTCGAAAATATTTATGGGAGTTATATCTGTATCCAAATCTGAACCGATCTCGATATAATTTGACAAAGGTATTTCTAAGCTCATTAGATATCTGGTACCGAATGCTATTGTTGTAGAGTGCATATTACCAAAGTTAGGGATTTAAACATAAAATCGGATGAAACATAAATATGGGAGCTATAGCCATATCTGAACCGATCTTCACCAAATTTTATGCACTTATTTTTAGGCTGAATTCGTCTGGAATTACCTCAATTCACTCAATTTGGGCTAATATTAGCCATTTGGCGCATAATAAACCTGAAATCGGAAAAGGTATATATATAGGAGCTATACTCAAATCTGAACCGATTATGATAAAATTTAGCAGAGGTATTTCTAGTCTGTATCTGATATCTGGTACCAAATATCATTCTGCATATTACGAATGTGAGGGACTTAAACACCAAATCGGGTAAAACATATAAACATATGGGAGCTTTAGCTATATAAACGATTTTCACCAATTTTGAATTACTTGTTTTTAGGATGAATTATGTCTTACTTTCCAAAATTCAGTCCTTTTGGGCCGATATTGGCCATTTGGTGCACAATTAATCTAAATTTTGACCGATTTTCTCCAATTTCAATAGGGTTTGTCCTTGGGAAAGAAATGATTTGTGCAAAACTTTATGTTGATCGGTCAATAAATGCGGCCTGTTCTTTGTTTACAAATACATGGAAAGACGGACGGACGGACATGTATAAATCGACTCAGAATGTTCTATGCAGATGATAGTATGCAAAAGAAACTATGGGTCTATCTCGTTTCCTTCTGCCTGTTACGAACAAATGCACAAAGACATGATACCTTGACCACCTTGTGGTGTAGGATATAAAAATGCGAACGTCCCGAACACAACTTACAATTATATCTAAGAACTGATCTTGCTTTATATGTCTGGTGTTGTAGTTATAGATTTCTTGGAAATTTTGCATGAAATACCGATCAGAAAATAACAAAAAATGAATTAAATTTTCCTACGAATCTGTCTGAATATTTAATTAATATACAATATCTACACTCCTCAACTTTGAATGCCTTTTTATACCTCCTCCATAAGATTTAGGGTATATTAAATATGCTATTCCGTTTGTTACATTTTAACAAATTTTCTGATATATTATTGAAGTAGAAAAAAAACAATTTAAATACTTACAAACTTATAACAAAAGGATGTCTAATTTCGCGCAATATGTTGCGCTCATTTTTCACATGTTCAATTTGTTTCAAGCGTATAACATCGGCCATGGCCAACAGTTTCATGGCACAGTACTTTCCAGATATTCGATCACGACACAGACATACTCGACCAAATGTTCCGGTACCTAAAAATAGATAGAACCGCAAAAAAAAAAAAAAAAAACAAAAATTAAATAAACGCCATTAGAATTAATTTTCGAAGTGTGGGATACATAGAAGAGATAAATGCTACCGTTAATTGAAATGTGGTGAAATAAATGGTCAATACATACAAAATTGCCATTCACTTTACGTACATCAACATAGCGAGAGCAAAAAAATGAATTAACAATTAAAATGACCGCAAAAATAAGATGGTTAAGTATTGTGAAACGATTTTTTTGATCACCATGAATATGTATATGTACATCAGAGTGTATGTACTTTGACTATGGAAAAGTTTTAAACTTCGGGAATTGAAAGTCTCAGTAAAAGACCTCAAAATTTCCTATGAATTTCAACTGTGGATGGATAAATTCTTGGATATGGTCCTGGCATAAGAAAAGTATTTGAGATATTTTACGCTGCTCAGAATGTACAAAGGACTTTCCTTATGGCAGCAAATATTAACATACGGAAAGTCCCCATAAAAATATAATTCGCACAATCTCTCATATAATATCCCAGTTATGAAACACAGTTTCTATTGGTAGACCCCAGTGGCTATCTTTCTCCGATAAATTTAAAACATTAAATAGAAAAATGAAAATTTAAAGCTATCAAAAAATCTTAATAATACCTTATTAAATAGTTTGTGTTGGAATGTTTTAGTGAGAGTTACAATTTTCTTATCCCTCAAACTTTGATATCTTTCCAGCAACCCTAACACAATGTTTTGTTTCAGATCGTGAATATGAATATTTTAAGTAAGAAATGTTTTTCACAATTTATTATATGTTTCTTTTTGGCTGCACATCGAATATTTTCAAATTCAATAAACATTTTGTAGTTCATGCAAATTTTTTTTTCAATTTCCCTTGAAATCATGCACAACAGAAAAACGAAACGGGCCTTACTTCGATCACGTTCCATCATTATCATCTTTAAATCACCAAATCATTTTCTATGCCCTACTCTGTTAAGGGTGATATTGTCATTTAGTGTTTCGGTTTGAAACAGTTAGAAAAAAATAATAATAAGAACAAAATTTATGAAACATTTAAGGCCGTCGTATTAAGGTCTTTTCTAGCTGTCCAAAGATTTGCAAGGAAATATAACTCGGAATATTTATTTATATTACAATATTCTGTTGTATTATTCAATTTCAATTGATTTCTATCGCCAGAAAATTTAAACAAAAGTGAGGACTTAAATCTGTCTCTGTTTATGAATAAATTCATAGCGAAGTGTGTTTAAATTTCCAAACAGCCGAATCAAATACTGATGTTACTTTTTTCTTTAAAATGTATTAATTCCTCTTTGTCATGGTTGAAATGGAAATTAAATGGTGTTTTTTTTTTCAATTTCATGCCATTCACAGCAACATCAACATTGATCCGGATCGTATTGTATTTCGCTTAACCAAATTTTCTCAGCCTTGAATTGCCATCAATTGAGTGAACGAACGAGGCAATGCCTTTTTGATGATGTTGCTCATGTATGGAGTTTATGGACTTGAATAGATGAACACGTATTCGAAATATTACCAGAAGCATTTTGTTTAAAATAATAGGTAACACAAAGTAATTGGATTATTTGTTTCAATATTTTTCCACAATAATTTTGCCCTGATTCAATATTGCTTTGGAGGAAATCTGTTTTATTTGTGCAATTCGAACAAATTTACGATTGTTTCCAGACATTAATTGCAATTATTATTTAATAGAAATTGAAACATGCTGCCGCCGTTGTGAGTGTGTGTGTGTTCTCTCGCGTTATTAGTTGACAATAAAAAAATATTAAACCGCACAAATTCTCCACAGTGTTGTAATAAATTTTCCGATTATTCGTTCGTTCACTTGAGAATTTCTCACAGAACAGAGACCAAAAGTCGATCGGAGCAATGTACTTTTTCATAATAATTACATCATTTACGTAAATAACTAATAATTCAAAATTATAGGAAATATTCCATATATATTAAAAGTTCACTGTTCTATTTCAATTACTTTCATATGTGTATGTGTGAGAACAATGAAAAGTTCTGGAAAAAATATATTATGTTTGCACACTACAACGATATGTGTTTGATAAGTTTGATTGGACCAACAATTTTGTAACATCTCGAAATATTATTCCTATTACGCCAGGTTGATTCGATTTTAGCTCATTCGTCCGTCTTTCCATGTTTATTTGTAATCACGCTACAGGTCGTGGTCGGAGAACAAAAAATGATACATTTTTTTGCGAATTTCGCAGTCGCTCTAATGGTCACAATTAAAGACCGGTTAAAATGTGGATTAGCGATTAGAACAGACATTTTGGATAATATTTACCATTTTGGATGGAAAGATAATGAGCTGTCACTGGAATAATTTTAACAGCTGTCGGACGAGTGGCTTAGCAGTCTGTCTCGTGAGCTGAACATATCGCAATATTCCATTCCATTGAAATTCCAAAAAGTGCAAGAACTTATAACGCAACAGAAAGAAAATAGACTCAAAAGAGCTAACAAGTTTCTGATTGGACCAACAAATTTGTAACATCACGAAAAATAGGTCTTAGACCAATATTGTTATAGATCGATATTCCTATCTCGCCGAGCTGATCCGATCTTGCTTTGTGTGTCCATTCGTCCGTCTATCCATGTTTATTTGTAATCACGCTAGAAGTCGCTGTTCTGATCATCGTGCATGGGTGATATTGTCGTGATCAAAATTGAAGCCTATTGCCGGAAAACAAAAACCATTTTGGATGATATATAGCAGGTGAAATGGACCACATATTTTGTGTGAAAAATTTCAAAATTTCCATTCAACCGCGAATATTTTTAATACTGAAAGTCACTTTTTGACGAAATTTATTTTTGAGAATATAAAATTGTGCTGATTTTTATATATAGCCAGAAAACTGAGATATAGCAAAACATGTTTTATGGCAAAAATGTTTTTTCGAATTCCAATAAGCACGGCAGAGGCAGTAAATATAAGATAAGAATTGCCAAGGAATATGATATTGTCTTGTGGATCTGGCCATATTCGAATGGGGCAATGTAATAATGACAACAATGACTTTAAACCAGGAATTCATGGCATTTGTTGAAATCCCTTAAGAACCACGCCAGATACTTAAAATGATCATTGAAGTAGTCTTACTCAATATCCCAATATCTTGACAGGTTCTTGTCCAAAGAGTCAGATTTATATAACCTTTACCGTAAATTATAGTACTGTAGGGTATTACAAAATCGACTCAACTGCAGCATTTTCTTATTTTCAATATATATGTAGAAACATTCTTTTGGCAGAACAAAAATATATTTTAAGTGGATGTCAACTATTTTTAGTCCGAAATGATAAATTAACCAAGAGCTGTAATTAATTATGATGGGCTTTGTAAAAATATAGTTGCTAAACCAAAAATAATAATTACAAAAATCTTACCATGTGAGGAGAAAAAAACTAATTATATATATATATATAGCATTTAGTTTGAAAATTGAAATTATTTCATTTATTTTACCATTCAGTATAAACAAATTAAGAAGTACTAAGTTTATTTTTAAAACCTAACAATAAAATTGTTGAAATAAACTAATAATGGACCATAATTAGACCTAAAAAAATAATAATAACTATACCTAATATATTCCCACATTTGTTTATTATTTTGAAAAAAAATTTATTTTTGAAACAAATCATGTACGTCTGTATGCGTCTACTGTTGACGTGGATAGCTCGAGTCCGTAAAGCCCTGTCATTCATTCATCCATCAAAAAGTGTGCTAAATTAGTGACATGTGAGATATTTGTTTTTATTTAAAACAAATGACAAAGGAAATAATTTTTGCCAAAATATAGCAACAATAATACTTAACATATTAATTTAGTTAGGAGACACATTTGGAGACGTACATAAAAATGTCAAGGTTTTTCAAACAACATTTAGTTCAATTTTTCAGTCAACAGCAACCTTAAATTTTTATATTATAGCCCAAAACTTTCTTAATTTCTTCTGTGAAATTGTTTTTTTTTTCTATATATGGGAAGAATAAAACCATAATACCAAAAACTACATATTTGAGTTAAAGAATCAAAGTGGAAAAGTCAATGAAGTCCAAATAGACCACAAACAGTTTCGTTGATTTAATGTCACAATATAAGTGACCAAATGAAAGTATTCGCTGTGACCTACCGATAGAAAACCTATTGTTAACTTTAGTTTAGATTTTTAATGAAAATATTGCGTATTCATTTAACCGATTTTGTAAGTAGCTGCCAAGGAAATGGCAGAATTGAAACAGTGAATACTGTCAACAAAAACAAAATAAAATTAGTTTAAAATACGGTCAGTTCCGAAGTTTATGTTAAATTGTTTATACCCAATTACAGTCAAATCTGAAGGAACGTATTATAACAACCTCCAAAATACAAAAAAACCTAAGGCGAGTCCGTAAAGTAGAGACTATACTACAACTTTGACTTATTTTTGAAAATTTCTGCAAAACAGGCTATTCCGTTTAAAAAATTGTGAAAACTTTTAAAATGTCTAAATTTTGATGGTGCTGGTGATCAAAACCCTACAAAATATAAATTAGAATGTATAAACCAAAAATACCTTTTTTGACCCGTTGTAACTCAAAAATCGTATAACCTCAAAAAGGTTCACTTCCTGATATTTGCATGTAAAAGTTATTGTGAAGCATGTAAAGGTCATTTTTTATTAAATTTCATGCAAATTTCTAATGGCTTTGGCCTTATTATAAATTGTTGTTTTACAAATTGAAGAACTATATTTGATTTTTTGCCATGGGCATAAGAAATCATTCAACAACCTTTAACATAGGCATATGGCTACTCATAGAAAAAATTTCCATTTTTAACCAGTAATTAGTGTCACCTTTGGTTTCATATGAATCATGAATTTTCGAAACGCTTGATGTAGTGTCAAACGAGAAAGAGGCAAACAAAAATCACAACAACACAAAA